GAGAGAGAGAGAGAGAGAGAGAGAGAGAGAGAGAGAGAGAGAGAGAGAGAGAGAGAGAGAGAGAGAGAGAGAGAGAGAGAGAGAGAGAGAGAGAGAGAGAGAGAGAGAGAGAGAGAGAGAGAGAGAGAGAGAGAGAGAGAGAGAGGGGGAGGGGAGAGAGATTATTCACAGTGACACTAATTAACACCTTGGCTTGTGACTGCATCCTAGTGATTAGCTTATTTAATCCAATTATGACCTCACATGAAATACACTGAATGCCATAGCTATGCGTCAGCTGAACAAGATATGCTGATTAAATATTGCTGAATGAGATATGATTGGGATCCATGAATGAGATATGTGAATGAGCTATCCTGAATCAGGTAAGAATGACAAATATTAATAAGATATTGTGATATGTGACAAATGTTAATTATAAAAAGTTGGTTAAGAAAAGAAAGACAAATCTGCGTCAGATAATGTGAAACGTGCACGAGATATACTGAATAAGATAAGAATGGCATTGGATTACTATAAATTATAATAAATAATGAAATACGTGAATGAGATAAGAATGAGGTATGCTAAGTGAAATAAAGACTGAGATACCTGCGTGAGGTATGCTGCATCATATCCGAAAATGTGCTAAATGACAAATCTGAGATACCTTAATAAGATATGCTGAACAAGATAAGGAGATATGCTGGAAAAATATTTGGATGAGAAGTAGGCACAATTCTAACTGCTCTCCTGTGCTAATCTTTGCCCATCACAAAATATTGTTTTCTCTCTCTCTCTCTCTCTCTCTCTCTCTCTCTCTCTTTCTCCAGCTACCCACTCCACTAAACCTCATCGCTGATAACTGCCCAGTGATTACATCTCCCAAGTACAAACAATCATCGCCAGAGAGCGCCGAGAGGGGGCGCCACCGTGAGGTCAGACAGGGGTCACCGTGCCGGTCGCAGCTTCTCCGCGGGACACACGTCTACGTGTTGGTGTGACCGCGGGTGCCAAATGCTCTAAACGGGGGAACGCCTGAAATAGAACGACATTAGTGAGCGAGAAATGTCAGATTGGTACTGGTAGGTAGGTGGTGGTGGTTATGCGCACGTAAGGCCGGACGGTTTTTCCTTACGACCGTGCTGCCGCACACCTGCTAAGAGTGGAATTACTTCCACCAGTACCAATATGCTCTCTCTATCTGTGTCTCACACTCTCACCAGCTAATATAGTCAGTTAGCTGGCTAGTCTAATCAGTTGACCAGCTAATATAGTCAGTTAGCTGGCTCTTACTCCCCAGCAACCGATCATCCAAGTTACGTATGCCACAACGAGTAGTGCACCCTATTACTACGTGATCCACAGAGTAAACTGCGGTTTCACCTCATGCCAGTACAATGCCACACTCCCCCTGTAGTGTGCGGGAAGGGAAAGCTATCACATACACGTGTGGACCAGCAATTACTGCAAGCTTCCCATCTATTCGTTTAGAAGCCGTTGTTCTCGGAACAGATCATACCTTTATCGTGACTACCACCTTGCAACACTAGTTAGACCAACGTTGCATTGACGCCCCCCCCCCCACCACCACGGCCACCCTGACAACGCCCCCTGGTGACTCACCTCTCTCAGCTCCTTGATCTTGTAGCCGGCGCGGCCGATGATACCGCCTGCCTGGCTTTGGTGTACGAGCATGCGGATGTCAGCCTCAAAGTCCGAGTCCTTGTACTGCTGGTACTGCAAGTGTGGAGATCGGCAACCATTAATCATGAGAAGAAAGGGAGAGGTAAATGGAGTGGGAGAGAGAGGGAGAGGGGGAAGAAGGGGGAGAGATAGATAGACAGAGAAAGGGAGACGGAGAGGGAGAAGAAGAGGATGAGGGAGAGGGAGACAGAACAAAGACAGTAATGAGGAGAAAATACAGAGCGGCTAAGAGACACGTAGCATAAGAAATGAAGAACAGCGAGGTCTCGAGGCTTCACACAAAGATAACAATTCGGAGAATGCAATAACACCCCCGCTCCGGGCACCCACTGCCAGCTAGCTTCCTGAAAAAAACTTCTGAAACAACATCCTAATGTCATCTCGTGTAGACCATGATGAGGTGATGGTGCAGTAAGCAGATATCAGACTGTTACTTGGGGGTGGGGGTTGGTGGTGCAGTGACCTGGTAATGTCTGACTATGAAGTGTGGGTGGGATGGGGGTTGGTGGAGCAGTGAGCTGGTAATGTCTGACTATGAAGTGGGGGTGGGATGGGGTTGGTGGAGCAGTGAGCTGGTAATGTCTGACTATGAAGTGGGGGTGGGATGGGGGTTGGTGGTGCAGTGAGCTGGTAACGGCAGACTATGCAGTAGAGGTGGGTGGGGGTTGGTGGAGCAGTGAGCTGGTAATGTCAGACTATGAAGTGCGGGTGGGATGGGGGTTGGTGGAGCAGTGAGCTGGTAATGTCAGACTATGAAGTGGGAGTGGGGTAGGGGTTGGTGGTGCAGTGAGCTGGTAATGTCAGACTATGAAGTGGGAGTGGGGTAGGGGTTGGTGGTGCAGTGAGCTGGTAATGTCAGACTATGAAGTGGGGGTGGGGTGGGGGTTGGTGGTGCAGTGAGCTGGTAATGTCAGACTATGAAGTGGGGTGGGATGGAGGTTGGTGGAGCGGTGAGCTAGTAATGTCATTCTATGAAGTGCGGGTGGGATGGGGGTTGGTGGAGCAGTGAGCTGGTAATGTCAGACTATGAAGTGGGGTGGGTGGGGGTTGGTGGTGCAGTGAGCTGGTAATGTCAGACTATGAAGTGGGGTGGGGTGGGGGTTGGTGGAGCGGTGAGCTGGTAATGTCAGACTATGTGGGGGTGGGGTGGGGGTTGGTGGAGCGGTGAGCACGCGATGCTACTTACATCCTCGAGCATCGGGATGATGTCCAGCATCACGTCGCAGGCGGTATCCAGATCCGCTCCCACGGTCAGAATGCTGCAATGCACACAACAATGAACATTAGACACGGCCGCGTCGGCGTCGACCCCCTTAATTACCCACCGATACAGCCTCTTCCTCGTCGTCCTCGTGCTCCCCAAACCACCTCCTTTTGCCCACCCCCCAACTCCTTTGATCTCTTCTACCCAACCTCCAAATGTGTTCTAATAACCTTCTCCTGCAAAGTTTAAACCCATCTTTAAATCCCCTTACTATATTTCCCCACGCCCAGAAGCCGGCAGCTTCCCACCCAAAACCACCTCCCGCCCATGTATGCCACCCACAAGTTTCTTTTCGTCTCTTGATCCCCTCCCTCCCAACCACGAATCCCCTCGAACGGGACCGTCGCGTACTCACGAGCAAACACGCACCACGTTCACTAAAACGCAGTCTTCCCCGGCCCCGCTTCCCTACTTAAGTAAGTCGACCTAGACGACGAGCTAGAACGTCGAAATCTCCCTTCCCCCCACGCGCGCTCCGGCCGGCGTCGGACCGAGTCGTGCTGATCTAACCACATGCATCGACGCATGTCAGTGCTGTTTACGCGCCAACCTACCATCCACCCTACCTTGTCACGACGATCAGCTCGTGGATGGGGGGCGGCGGCTATGCGATACGGACAGAGGGCGCTGAGGCGGACGCTGACCGATCACAGACAGTCGAGCTTAAAGACGATCCACGGCGTGTGCTGCTCGATACACCCACTAGCTCTCTATACTACGCCTTATAGCTCTCTACTATGCCACTAGCCTTACTACGCGAGTTCAATGTCTAGGAACTGTCGCTGCGTGTCCGTCGACGAGCTAATGGCGGCCCGCGGGGTCATCGCGCTGCCACGCGTGTAAAGCTAACCACCGACTCTCACAGCTCTCACAACTCACGCCGACACAGACAATGACTCACAACCCGACGAGACGAAAAACATGAACTAGAGTGTAACAGACTCGAACTTGAAAAACGCCTTGAGAGAAAGACAACTTGAAAGAGAAGCACCCAGGAACACACACGGGAGGCACTGCGTGTACGACTACCACACATAGGTGGCACTGCATATACGTCCACCACACATAGGTGGCACTGCATAAACGTCTACCACACATAGGAGACACTGCATAAACGTCTACCACACATAGGAGACACTGCATAAACGTCTACCACACATAGGTGGCACTGCATAAACGTCTACCACACATAGGAGAAACTGCATGAACGTCTACCACACATAGGAGACACTGCATAAACGTCTACCCCACATAGGAGACACTGCATGAACGTCCACCACACATAGGAGACACCGCATGAACGTCCACCACACATAGGAGACACTGCATGAACGTCCACCACACATAGGAGACACTGCATGAACGTCCACCACACATAGGAGACACTGCATGAACGTCCACCACACATAGGAGACACTGCATGAACGTCCACCACACATAGGAGACACTGCATGAACGTCCACCACACATAGGAGACACTGCATGAACGTCCACCACACATAGGAGACACTGCATGAACGTCCACCACAAGTGAGATGGCATTTATGTGCACGACATAATGGGTAGGAAGCTCCACTGCTCGTAGGGGGAAGTACACATAAACACAGCTATTGAAAATGCGACAGTATTGTCCTGAGATGTATACCTATCGCATATATAATTCTATATTGCTGAATACAGGGTAATAACAAATACAGGATAAACACATGGACGTGATGGCAGATCTGAACTGAATGGGAAAGAAATGGCAAAAGAGTAAGAGAGCGAGCGAGAGAGAGAGAGAGAGAGAGAGAGAGAGAGAGAGAGAGAGAGAGAGAGAGAGAGAGAGAGAGAGAGAGA